AATATATTTCCATTCACACATATGTCGTTTCGAATGCACGATCTTGAGAATGGCCAACGTGTTTATTTCAATGAAGCAAATGTATTGGAAAGATCATCAGCTTTTTTCAAATGATGAGAATCGCGTTATTTGCGTTAAATTTGTTATATTCTGCAGTGCCTCAGTATTACACATGGAACGTGTATTCGAAAAAATTTGAAAAACGTAAACAAAGAACAGCAGCCTGGGCATCCAGGCATTTTTCAAACAGATACAAATTTGTTAATTTTTTTAAACAAAAAAACACATCGGCATATTTTACCCAACAACATAAACAGTTATAAAAAAAATTGTCACTGGATAGGCAATACCAGCACTACAGAGAAAGTATTAAAATGACAGAAAATGTACCTAAGAATGGTATGCAATATAAGCAAGTGATGCAAGTTAGTTTCAAAGTTTAAATACGCAAGAAGATCTACTTTACACCTTGCATACCTACAGGCGCATCCGAGCAAACAGTTATAAACAAGTTGCCAGAACGTGGCGGCTGGCTTAAAAGAAGGTGTGTTGAGGAACAAATATGTTGGGGCGAATTAGATAAGGTCACGAGCAAAGCGTTGTTAGGGAAAGCAAGTGTGTGCAAATTAAGTGAAATTCAACTTACTAAAAGAGAAATAGCGGATGATGAAAAGGCATCAAATGGATAGGTTACAGCCTAACATTATTACCTTATATAACATGCAATACACAGTTTTTTACTGCGCGGCTTAAGAAGTTCAGAAGTATTTGTTCGCAAAATTTCATATTTACAAAACTTGGCTTTCCAACACCAAACTTATGTAGCTACAAGTTATATCAAATAACTATTTTTTGCAGCGTTACAAAGACACCTTCCGAAGCAGTGGAAAAGTTTTAAGGGTATTTAGCAAACGCAAAAATTAGTCATCATAAAAAGTTCAACATAGTTGAATTAGTATCCTCATATATTTGTAAGAGCACAGTATGTCTTTGAACAAGAGATAAACATAACTATAGCTCTTCAAGCTACTTCCTATATGTATATATGTATTTGAATTTCGCATTATTCAAAAATCTTATCCCATTAACGTATATATAAAGTTTGTACAAGTGCCTTTCAAAACAAAGACATAATTAGTTTTTCCAAATTTTCAGCTTCATTTTCTTTTCACCACTTTACATTGTGTTTTTAAACTGTGAAAACTTGGTTTATGCCAAACTTGTCTTACAAAAAATATCGAATTATTTGTTGGCTGTGCATGCATAATAATTAAGGCGCGCTACAGTCAACATGGGTACAAGGCGCATAACGTGAGGCAAAAGTTGAAATTAAAAGTTCACTTTCCGCCGCTGAAAATCGAAATGCATGATCACTTTTCGAATTCTAATTTCTATATATTGAGTTTTTCATTGTGTTTTGAATTTTTCCAGAATGTTTTTCTTTCAATTAAGTTTTTTACTTACGGTCTGCGTTAATATTTATTAAAATGTTAATACGAGGAAAAATTAGTTAAAAATGTTATTACCTATGTACTTGTTTAGAAAAAATATTATTAAAAACCCCTTAAATTTAATTAGTGATGGGTTAAAAGATTAGAAAATATAGCATGCCATCAAAAATTATTTTTATTTTTCGTATAACAAATCTTACAATTTTATTTCTAACTACTAAACACAAAATTTTAATTTATTTATTTATTACGGGTTTTTTCTTACCCTTAAAAATATGAATATAGGTATTTTCTATTGCAGCTTGAAAAAGTTAATTTTTCGACCCTTAACATATCTGAGTTTTTACAATAAATACCTAAAAACCTTGGAATTAAAATGCATATTTCTTCCAAAGGAAATCTGGTCTCGTTCTCTATTGGCAAAAGCAATCGAACAATATCTATAGGCTATATTGGTTTTCATGATGACGCCCTTATTTTCCTATCGCTTTGACTTTGATGAGGTATATACCAGGTGTACCGGTACGAAATAAGTTTTTTGTGAAAATGAAATATTAATTTTGAATAGGAATGTAAAAAATATTTATTTCATTGCTTTTTACACATTTTAATCACCTTTTCGGCGATTTAGTAATATAAATGCTCGTCTTGTGAAGCAAACCGTCTTGTGAAGCAAACCAATCATAGGAATTGAAGTGCCAATGCGTGTGGAAAAGTCTGGTGAATACGGCTGGTGGGGTAACACCATTATATACTGAACCGATTTGACTTTGTGTAACAAAATTACTTTGCCGTGTCTTCTGGCCCATTCTGGCCGTTTTTCGATCAATTCATGGTTCAAATTGATGTTCTGTTGTCTATAGCGATTAGTATTAACAGTTTCAACGGGTTTTAGAAGCTCATGATATACCACACGCTTCTGATCCCACCAAACACAGAGCATTGCCATCATTATCGATTCGCTCTGATTTTGGATTGGATGTTGATCGTTGTCGCGAATAAACCCATGATTTTTTTCGTTTAGAGGTCTTAAAATAAATCCATTTTTCATCGCCAATGACAATTCGATGCACATCTGATTTTATTTTGTGTCTTTGACGAAAAATTGTTTATTCGGCTTTCCATTTGTCTTTAATTTAATTCATTGGCACCCATTTTCCATACTTTTGGACCATTCTCATAGTTTTTAAATAGTCTGAAATTATTTTTTGTGCAACATTTAAAATGGTTGCCATTTGCCAAAGTATCATCTTTATCTAATATTGCTTGTAGTTTGGCGTCCACGTTCTTCATTTCTCACATCAAAAGAATTTTCTCTGAACCTTTGAAACCATCTTTTGCATGTTGCTTCTAATATTGTAGATAATGACCACCATATGCCTCGACAAACAGTAGAAACAAAAAATTAATGCTTTCCGCAAGTCATCGCTTTCCGGTACAAAATTCGACAATTTCGACACAATGACAAAATATGATGTTGTTTATTCAATGACTGTAGGGTTATTGAATATACTCGACAGATACCATGCAAAGCGTTCACAACAAATGTTCCCTACCAACACTTTTGCAAGTTAATGCTCATTTCATGCCGGTACACCTGGTATATTCAGCTTCTATAATCGTTAACGGCCATCTATTGTCTGCAATTCAATTTTGACTGCAAAAATTTTATTTGTTAATCACTTTTACTTAAATAGCTAAAAGCTATATTCTACTTAAAAGACTAATACTGGATTGTTTTTGCTATACTCTGTTGTCAAATTAGGATTTCTTTCCAATATCTCCCTAAATATAAATTTTCGCTTTCATATTCTGCTTAAACAGAAGATGCTTAAATATTAAATATGTTGAATTTTACCAAACCTATTTTTTGTAGATTCCAAAACACGCACACCTCGGCTGTGCGGTATATACTCGTTATTTCCCAAGTTTATTGTATTTTTTTCAAACGCCCACTGAAAATGCCGGTTTTGCGTTAAAAAAAGGATCTAACATAAACCACCTTTTTATTTCCAACTTATTCCATGTATATAACATGGGGTTTATTAAAATTTTGTATTAAGCAAGTTAACCTGCAACTTTTGAGATATTGTGATTCAAGAATTTCCGCTTCATCAAAAAGATTTTAATGTTTTTTTCAGAAAGAGCATCCATTGATTTACGTATACATTCTGTGTTGCTTATACAATAATGTGTAGAATGTGAATTTAGTACATGTGACACAAAACTTCAACTGAGATTAACTTTTAAAGGAATATTTCTATGAAAAAATATATTTTTTGGTGCAGCGGAAAATTTCGTATTAAAATATGTCTTTTCCAGAGTTGTAGATTTGTTGGCTTTGGGAACAAAAACTGTACTGTAACATTAATGTGTTATAAAATATCAAAAAATCCCTTATAAATTATATGAGAAAAATAAAATGATCTTGGCACGGTTTAAATTGAAAACAAAGAGTTGGTATACATTTGAACATTTTTTATTTTTACAATTAGAAGGAGCTTAGGTGCACATTTTTATGAGAACAATATTAGTACATAACTATAATTTGTTTAATGGTCACAAACAAAGTTATAAAGAAAAATAATAAGAGAATTTTATGTGGTAACTTTTATTAAATTATTAAACTGTACATTGAAAACTAAATACCTTTCTATAAACTTATTAAATAACAGCGGTCTTCGATTCGTCAGGCGTTGGAAAGTAACGAATCGAACAAACTAAAACAAAATGTTCAAATAAACTAGCAGCATTTGCAGTAAAACACTGCAATGACACAGCAGCGAAATAGCGAATAAAAGACAACTATTATATTGTATTATATATAAATATGATAAGTCGTATATAAATGTTAACTAATTTTATTATTTGTTATATACATTTGGTAACGACTTCTTGGGGAAAAATTTCAACACAGAAATGCACATCATACAAGAAACTTGCTAAAGTATACAAACATATATTTTTTTCTATATATGTTAACTATTGTATAATATTACTTATATATAATTGTCTACATTTTCAGTGGGTAAAAAGCATGATGTGATAAATACGTTTGTAAATTTTCTGGATGTTGTGAAGTCTGCGGTTATGAGATATAATATATTTACCTCGGGGTTGAGTAAGAGACAGCAACTAAATTACGGCTCTGAAACGCTTTTGGTAATAAATGCTGAGAAATATTACACTAAATTAGCGAAAAATAACAAGCTGTCCATTTCATGCTTTCGGTCAAATAAGCAATTTTAGGTGCCATAAAAACCATATTTCGGTTTTAGTTGAAACGGTATTTGATGACAGTTTTATGTGCTATCGATTTGTGTTTGGTTTAATTTTTGTTGGTCTTTAGAATTAAGTAATCGGAAAATATTCGCTAGATACGTAATTCTTTTTCAGCATATGTGCTTTAAACACCTCAAGAACTAGTTATTACCACTCAATTTCCTAGTTACCCAAATTTGTGCATTTTTAAGCAATTTCTGTTATACCTTGACATCTCGTATACAACATTTTACAACGTTAATTTTCTTTTTTTTTCAAAAAAATTAAGTCCACGAATTTTCTCTCAAATAAATTTTAAATTGCTCTATAAAATTGTGTGTTAAAATTTTAATTAATTTCCTGAAGGAGGTTTCAGTAAATTTTGTCCACTTCAGTTTTAAATTTAGTGCTGCTATACAAGATGCATGTCAAGGTTGCTGAACACTTTGCACTCTATGTGACCCAGCTAAGGTCATAGTTTTGCGAAAATTGCAATTTAAGTAAGTACTTGTATTTATATTTTTATCTATGTATTAAAGTTCTTAAAATTAATTTTCATTTAAATAACGTTAGTTACTCGTGTGCGAAAGAGTTGGAGGTTAAGAGTTATTTATTCCAAAGCTATGTAAAAGAAGTATCCTCAGAGAAGTGCAAGAGCATCGTGCAAATAATAAAGACGGCGATGGCTAAACGTCAGCATGGACGTTAAGAACGGAGCGGAACAACTAGACCGCAGAAACTGGCTTATCGTTGAAACCGAGAAAAGACGGGGACATTTAAGCAGGCGCATCACGATCCTCGAGCCAATAACCTCGAAGCGGAGCGACAAGCCCTATGGAGCCTCGAGAAACTGTGCGACCACGTAACGAAAAGGAGGGCCAGTAAAAGAAGTGGTACAGGAGACGATCGAAGACTTGACGATAAATATAACGGCACCTAACACAAGAGAGAAGGTAAGGGCGTATATAACGCTTCATCAAGATAAAGCTGACACACTGATGCGAAGGACACGCATTAAAATTGGCTGGGTTAACTACAGGCTGCCACTTAAAGAAAACGCTAAAAGGTGCAAAGGGCCCGACAGGAGAGGGCATAAAATGCTGCTAACCAGGTCACAAATTAAAAGAATGCACAAAACTCCCCTCATGCTGCCTCTGCGTAGAGGCTAAACACGTAAAAGTCGACCATATCCCGGGCTCCGCAAAATTTACGGTATATAGGAACTATCAGAATAAATGAATACTCTACAGGGAAATATGCATAGATGCAAGGTTAAAGCGTCATACTCTCACAAATAGTGACGGAGAACGGTTACAACTTAATAATCATAAGCGAGCGATATAAAAAAAAGGAGAGCGGAACCTGGTTAGAAGATAGCAGCTCAACCGCATTTCCACTGTAATTTGCTGCTACTTGACTCCAAGCAACAGCATACAAGAATTTCAAGAAAAGCTCGACAATATTGAGGATACAGCCAGATCTATAGGAGGTGAATTGATTATTTCCGGAGACCTAAATTCAAAATCCATAGAGTGGGCTATGCCAACCACGGATTCGAAAGGAAAACGCATTCTAAAAATGGCTACGCGGCTTGGTCTAATAGTGCTTAATACGGGAAATGCAACCACGTTCAGAAGACAGGGATGCGAGGAAACCACACCAGACATCACTCTATCATCAGAACGCATGTTAGCCTTAATAAAGAAATGGAGAGTCCTAGAAGATTACACTGGCAGCGATCATCAGTACATCTCTTTTACGGTGGACACCGGAACAAACGCCAACCAGGGCATGAAAAATTCTGGAACCCATAAATGGAACGTCTCGAAACTAAACACTTCGAAATTAATCTCCGCAATAGACGACCATAACCCATCTACCAGCTCCCCCGAAAATTGCAAGAAAAGTTGTCGACTACACAATGCTTAATATAACAAGAGCATGTCACAAATCGATGCCCAAGGCTTCCTGCAGCAAACATAAAGCAGCAGTTTACTGGTGGACAGAAAATATCGCCCAACTCAGACGCACATGCCTTCGCCTTCTTAGATCGTATACGAGATCTGGGCGAAGAGGAGCTCCATCCGATGAAGCACGCCATCGCCGATAACAAAAAGAGAAAATAGGAGAAACTATGCGCGGACGTCAATACCCCTGGAGACTTGGGTAGAAAATAGTAATGAATAAACATTACGTCAGGAGCTGCACAAGGATCCATTTTAGGCCCAGACTATAACTCGAAATGCCAGACGAATCGTACCTAATTGGCTACGCGGACGACACCGCAGCAGTAGTTACAGCCTGAGACACAGAAGATGCGCGAAGGAAGCTAAACCAGGTCATGATATGGACGTAAGCATGGCTTGACTCACACAACCTCCAGCTCCATGGGGAGTAGTCAACCTTTAGAACACCTACGCTTGACGCAAATTTCAACAGACCCTGTTGACTCACTAAAGATACCTCTCACAGTGCATCATACCGTGGGGCCCCCAAATGCTTAAACTATTGCTTTGCCTATGCAGGAAAGGTGTGTTAAAGATGTTCCATTGCTTCCCTGGTGCCCTGTCCTAGACATTTCCTGCGGTGGTTTTGATCTGTCAGCCCCATTCCGCAGGCGTGTGCCGCTATCAGACTGTGACCAATGGGTATTCCAATTATGTTCCTACAGTTCCTTTCCTGTTTCCTCCTATCGATTCCAGTTGGAACTTTGTATACATACTATTACACATAACTTTTGCAGTATCACACCCAAGTACATCATTCTTTCGCATTTTGATCATCTTTGTCATGCTCCTTTCCAAATCGTAGTATAGATAATGCTTGGGTTTACCAATGTTGTTCAAGATTTCGGGTGTCAGCCCGAACATTAACTCTTACATTTAGTAATAACTATTATTTTTTGTGTCATACTAGAGTGTTGTTTTAAATAGCTGAGATTGTAATGTAGTTAACAAGATTATAGTGTCATTATCTAAAATTACAATGGAAATACAAGTATATTGTAACTAATATTTAAACCTTGGTATCCAATTCTCCAAATATTAAAATTATAGCAGAGAATACAGGCAAAAACTTATTATAATCATAAACAATGTACCTATTCTTAATAGTATTAATAAATCTTATATACGCTGGGTTAAATTTGTACATATTTTTAAATTTGGAAACGTTTAATATTCTAATTTTTTCTAATGTTGTAATTATGTGGAAAAATATTTTTATCGCTTTTTTATTGTAATATGTAATCATAGGAAAATATAATTTTAAATGCAGCTACTAAAAAAAGTTCTGTCGTGTGTTGAAATTGTACCAACTGGGTATATTTTTATATATAGTGGATTCGATGGTGTCGGCATGGGCAGCCAAATCGTCACTTACGTAGGTTGGCTCATTAAATTTGTATGCCTTTATGCAGTCTCAAATGGTTTATAATCGTTGTTTTTCCTCGAGCTGTGCTACCAAACGCTTGGGTTAAGGGCGAATTGAACAAGCGCCTAGACTTCGGCCAACTAAACATCCGCTTGTTGTGGAGAGGTTTTACATTTTTGTTGACTGACTAGCCCTTCGTCTGCTACTATGCGGTTCGTTAAGAGAACAGGTACAGAGGGAAAGTTTTACAGCACTGAGCGTCTATGTGTTTGCTGCCATTCTTCCCTTCTCACATTTCACTGCGTTGTATATCCTTCTTTTAGCTGATTTTCCTTTTGTTATGTTTTGATATGTGTTGTGCTTTAACTATTAGTGCTGTGTTGAATTACAGTTGGTTCTCAGCCTACATTTAGCGTTTATTTTTACGCCTTCATATAATTTCAATTGGTCTGCGGCCACATGCTTGATGTGAAGGCGAATTGAGCAAGGACCTAACGGAGGGGACCTTTGATCCGCTCCACATCTTACTGGCTGGTTAACTAGACTTCTTCACTTAGTGATTGGTTAGAGGACCAAAATGGAGTGAAATGTTTAATACACTGTATACCGATGAGTTTGCTGCTTTTTCTGCTATAATAACTTAAAGAAGGGAGTGCACTGCTGCTTTCACTACTGTCGGACTCTTTCAATTATATTTGTAATAAATTTCCAATATGGAAAACAAGTTTGCAGGTTTCTTTTCCTATCGCTTCTCAGAGCTTGGAGTTTATTTGTTTTTGTGTTAAATTTGTCGGTAGAAAACGTTGTTTCAAAACTAATATTATTTTAAAATCTATATATCATCATCTGCACTTATGAGTTAATGTTTCGCCTTTGTGTTTGTGGTTAACTTTCTAGGCAAAAATATGTACCCTCGCTAGAATATGTGATTATTACCATATTTTTTATTACTCAGATAAATTCACGCAGCAGAATTTATCAATAGAACTTAGACTCATACATAAATTTACAAAAACAATTAAAATACATAAGATAATTTATATTTAAAGTCTTTATAATAAAACTTTTATGAGAATGTGAATAACGGAAACTAATCAACTCCGACTTTACTAGGTTAGTCGGCCAGCAGTATTTTTGCATTATCATTTTGGTATGTCGATAAATCACGTATACGCAGTGAAGGTAAAAAACGTGGCAATAGGCACATGGGCAGCATTATTGCCAGATACTTTTCCATAACGTGTGCGCAACAATAATTATAGCCTTTCTGTGTACTGACGTTGCAACTGATAGTTTTAACTAAAAGATAAAATTTAATATTGTAATATAAACACATATCATACAAATACAACTTTAAGTCTAAAAATTTAAATAAAAATAATCAAAAAAATATGTAAATATGTATGTATTGAAATTTTATCAATTCTGTTAAATTAAGATTTCTACAACAACAACAAATAATCAAAAGTTTATGTGTTTCACCTTAAGTAATTTAAGTTTCGAAAATATATTTTAAATATTATTTACAAGTAGGACGTCCTTCTGCGCAAATTTAAATTGGTGTTTAGAGAAATCACAGGACTCATTTCCAACATGTATTAAATAAATATATAAATAAGTTGACCAATACTACAAATTTTTGTTATTTATGATTTTCAACACAATGTCCTCTCAAGCGCGAATTGTACCGATGATGTGAGGAAGCTACAACTTACCCAAATTTCATTATTTATTATCACAAGAGCTTATATTCTCCATACACACACACGGACATGGATATACGACTCTATAAATAATAAAAGGGCAAGTTTATTAGAATTACATTGTTCTATAAATAGCTTACCCAAATTTAAATTTCCGCTCTTTGTTGTCTTTTCTTGCACTAACCATATTTTATATAATATGTATTATAGTATATATAACAGGAGTGATGCTTTAAACTATTCAGTTTATCTTTTAAACTCTCTTGGTAAAATAAAATGAGCAATTTTGACGACAGTGGACCAAAATAAAACAAAAATCTAATTTGTCTAACATATTTTGCGTATATTATAATAATAATGCTCTTTGAAACTGTATTTTTTACAATTAATGAGTAATCAGAAATAGAGCAAGTATATCGCTTATAACGGCAAATTAGGGAGGGTCGAAACGAATCTTTTTTTTGCTTGGAACTCTGAAATATACGTACTTAGCCACCTCTAAAAAAGTCTCTCCAAGTATGAGCTCTTAATTGTAATGAACAAGCACTCTTACAGTTTTCTATTTCTTTCTTATTATTAGATATACAAATTCATATCTGGCATTCAACTACTGGAAAAAATATCTTGTTTCATAGATTCTGTCGGAAATTGAATTCCTACAAAATGGGCGATGATTGACGATGAGTATCTCATACTTGACGAATTGACCGCCACAATCGAAGTAATTACGCACAGCAATACCAGGACAACTTACCGCTATGCGATGTTTATATGTTTTTTGCTTTAACTTCATTATATGATATTAAAATTTTTACTTTAAATTTATAATATATGATATTAAATGGCTAATCGTAAGGGGCAAGTAAATTAATGTAATATATTAAAAATGTATTGCCTATAAACTTCGATATTAAAACAAATTTTTTAAAGAAATTAAATGATGATACAATATGCAACATATATATTTTGTATACGTGAAGAAATATATGTGCTTAAGGCAAAGTCTTTTGATGTAATTTAATAATCTTGATTTATATATTATATATTTTTACTAGCATTTTGCATGACTTAAACACACCGAAATTAATACATAATTTCTTAAATTTTCCTCGATTATTACTGAATCTGCTAAGCCATAAATCTTCTAAACTATCAACGCTTCCCACTTTTTGTAGTTAACGACAGATGTGATTTCCATAAAACTCACTAATCTGTGAATAATAACCTCACAAGTTTCTACACAATACACACCCAAATTGTTGCAAATACAATATAAACACTGTTTTATGTTATAAATATAGTTAAATATATGAAAGTAAGGTTATCCACTTAGCCTGCTGATGTGAAAAAATTCCCTAATATAATAAATCAGGGTTTATGCCTACTGAATATCATTAACTTGGTTTTAAATAGTATATGTAATTAAGCAATGAACTTATAAACTACCATTTCAATTTTTATTTAAAAATATGTCAATAATGTTAATGTGTTAAAAAGGGCTGTATAAAAACTTTTTGAACTGCAATTAGTTAACTGTTTCATTAACCCATTTTATTAGGTCTGAATTTTTTTTCAACATAAACAATTCCACCATTTTATAATCTATATATGTGTATCATTAATTTGACATATGGTGGCTTGAAGTGTATGTTCATATGTAATCATAAATCATCCGTTGAGGCCAAACTGAATAGTGTTTAAAACAATACTAACAAGTAATAGGCTGACTATCTACATAATATATATATATATTAATCACGCGAAAAAGGTACTGATGAAAGGTAATGATTTATTAGTAGATATGGGGTGGTGATTGCACAACACATAGCAAGATTTCTGCATTACAGCATGGGTAGAGAGATGAAAATATTGTCGTATGTCAGTGGATCTATGTTTTCAACTTCATCCACTACCATAACTCATCACACATTATTAAACTACACACAACTTTACTTATTTAATACTGATTGTTATTTACTCATACCATAGGTACTCATTGGTATACAAAACAAATTTTTACCTTACAATTACTTCAAACTCCATACAAATACAAAGCAATATTTTAATGCGTTATTTAAGTTTCGATTAAATTATAAAGAACACTTTAAGCATATTTTAAAAATTTAAATGATGTTTTTGGTCGTCCTTCGCGTGGACCGTTTTCAAACCTAATACGACCAATTTAAATTCACCAGCCCAAAATTCAACGTTGCGTTTTGATTCCTAACAATTGTTCAAAAATTTCGTTTGTTTTTAAACCTAACCTTCATTCAAACTAAATTAAATTATTTGAATGTAATAGCTGTGACGGGTACACAAGGCATTTTAGTGTCAAACCTCACCTAAAATCGGAGAATGATAGCTTGGTAATAATAAAAAATTGACAAAAATTTATATCAGAGGAAGCATCAGTAAAAAGGGACAATTAATTTGCTTACTATATCTAACGCGTCGAAAGCGTTTCGAAAATATTTGCCTGAAGTTTACTGTTTCTACATCTTACCCTCCCCGAGCAAAATTTTTTCTGTAGAACCCACCCAGACAAAAATTTTGGATCCCAAAAAAATTACTCATATGACTTCATACATCTAAAAGACAGACCTTGTATAGTTTCTAAAAATTGTATACTAAAATATATTGGTTCGACAGCTTAAATTTATTGCAAATACAGAACGATGACCACTCCGACATACAGATCTGCCTGTGTGATAGCAAGTGCTTTGTTCGAAAATGCAGAATATGTATGCTGCTCATTAACATATTGATCAGAATTAGGATAAAACCTACCATAAGATTGTTCGTACTCCCATAAAATATTAAGTATACATTTAGTAATGGGAATCGAATTGGACAATGTTTATTATAAACATATGTATTATATTCCAAGCATGGTGAAAATACAACAGTTGCACTATATAAACCATGATTAAAATAAAT